CGGACATATAACTATCCATTAATATTTCAGGAATATTATTTAATATTATATAATTTTAGTGAAATATTAAAATGTTATATTTAATATTCGAAGAATATGCCTAAAATATTATTTAATATTAAATAATATTATGCTCTTATAGGGATTGCGCATGACGGAATGAGGATGGGGCGAATTTCGACCAATCAAATGCTACCGGCGTTGCATGGCTTTCCGATGTATCCGATTTCCGATAGGTTAAAATCATTTATTCTTTATTCCTAATTCCATATTCCTTTTGTGCGCAGCCCCTTACTTCAAGACACTCTATTTCTATGTTTGACAACAAATCTCAGGCATGTCTCGGATTAGTATTGATTGGTATACCCGTCAGAGTATATATTGCGACCATTACGACAAACATTCGTATTGTATATTTTTGAAAGTGTTGCCGACTTTGACCTAGCATTGAAACATACATTTTCTTTGGGGAAGACCTGTGGGAGGTTGGAGGTGTCTTGGATAAGACTGGCCACGATAATCCAGCTATATCGGAACCTGGGCCAACCAAATATTGAAGAAGAAGAAGAAGGTATACCTGTCAAAGAAATCTCACAATCATAAGTCCTCCTAAGTGCAACTATGTTGGCGAAGTCGGTTAGCCAGGTTACAGGCTGTAAAAAAGAAGAGGAAGAAGAAGAAGGAGCAAAATTGGATAGAAGGATAAAATCCCCCAAGGATTTTCGCCGGTTGATACTGTATTGCTTCCAACGTGGCTTCACGGTTTCGCAGACTATGATCGCGCTATCATCTGTCTTTGGAAAAGCCTGTGTCACTGTCTACACAATTGCAAGGTGGTATCGAAGGTTCCAAACTGGCGATTTCAACATAGAGGATCTTCCTCGCTCTGGCAGACCTCAGAAATTCGACGTAACACTTCTCAAGGACATCATGCACAAAAATCCACAAATGACCATTAAAGAACTCGCCACTGCTCTACACAAGTCCCCTTCCACAGTGCAAATCTACAAAAGGAAGCTAGGTAAATAGTAGATAAGAGGTCTGTTTTTTATTCCAGCTCTCTCTGAACTGGAGCCTTACTGTGCAATAAGAAGTGAAACGAAACGTATATTTGTGCAGGAATAAAAAACTGACCTGATATATAGCATCCTGAACTTATACAGTAGATTTGAAACGAACTTTCCAAACTACCTAATATGTGAAAGAATATTTCTCATCCAGTCTTGTATTGAAAAATGTCATTATAACAACCTACGTTTCTCTTTAATTTCAATCCTAATATATTTTGATTTTAATATACCTAATTTCTTAGTGCTGCAAGCTGTGCATGTTGAGTTGGATACTTAGGAATCACCGGCCGCAGTCCGTGCGATCAAGTTTCTCCATCTCTGAGTAATTCATTATTCCTTTATTTTAGTTTTCTCTTTATTCTGAAGAGCATAAGTATTGAATTCCATGAAGTAAGAGAGAAAGTCCGAACTTTGTGAGATGAAAATGGTTTGTTCTCGTAAAACTTGTAAGAACTTATGACTGAAACGCTTATAACAAGTCTTACGAGAACAAGTTGAACCAGACGATTCTGCTTAGAATTGCCTATAAGCTTATCAACTGTCCAGTTTTGACTCAAACCGTCAGATTTCCAGGAATTTCTTGTCCAGTATTTAACTGATAAGTCAAACTGGACGTTCGATTGTCAAATATATCCAATTAGGGCCACTTTTACCAACTCCGATTAACTTAATCGACCGAGTCCATTGGAATTGACTGATCACATTTGTCATTTTGTTTGACGACAGATTGCGATTGGCTAATTCCAATGGATTAATCGGTCGATTAAATTAATCAGAGTTGATAAAAGTGGCCCTTAATAAAATAAAATTTACATCATGAAAGAAAATTTATGAACAGAATTTTTGGTTTTCAGTAACGTTTTCCCGTTTTAAATATCCTAGATTTTTTTTTTTGCTAAAATACTTTTATGAATTAACTAGTAATGTTTTCCTTGTTCGAAAATATATTTTATTTTAAAAATATTAAATGTGTTAAATGATTTTAACAAAGTATTTATAACGAATGTTAAAATTTTGTATTTAATCTAGTTTTATGATTATTATCTTCGTCGGGGGTTTTTTCGATTGGATTTTGATTGCAAGCAGTGACCACGGCACTTAATCGGGTTTAATAACATCTGTAGTTATGTAACTGACCAATCATAGCTATTCCTCTGAAGAATGGAATGACTGTGATTGATTATTTTCTAACTACGGATGTTATTAAACCCAAAACACACAGACTACATTTATACGGCATCCTTAATCGGGTTTAACAACATCCGTAGTTATGAAATTGGCCAATCACCGTTGTTCCTCGGAAGAATGGAACGACTGTAATTGGCCAGTGTAAGGGTGTCGTGTAAATGTAGTCATAGAGAATAGACTGCGCAATCCGTATCTAAAGCCGATGGCATACGATACTTGTTTTCTTACTGGATTGCTAGCTAGAATAAATTCTTGCCGTATTGGCTATGAGGCTGACAATGTCGGTACCGCAGCCAATACGATGGCAAGATTCTAAT